GGCCTGGCGGGGCGCGGGCCGGGCAGAAGGGGCCTCGCGGACAGCCGGGTGCGGATCGCGGTCTCGGGGGTCAGGGAGCGCATCGGGGCCTTGGCGAGGGGGTGGTCAGGGCGCGGATGGGGGCCTGGCGAGGGTTTGATCAGGAGGCCAGCCTCAGTCGCGCGGACAGCTGCCCGCCGGGCAGAGGGGGGAGCGCGGGGCTCCTTTTTGGGGTCCGCAGAGGCAGCGCTCACTAATGCCACCCGGGCAACGCTACCAGGTGAGGTCCAGGTGAGATGCTGAGGTTTTGGTTGGGAGCATGGGCGTCGCGGGTCCCCGCTGGCGGCCAGCACCCTGACAGAGGGGTGGAGCCACCTCTGGCCGGGGTCTGGGCGCTCCACACTAACCGGACTTCGAGGGGCCTTCACACGGTCGCCCAGTGCCCACTACTGCCTGCTTCTGCACCTAGCTAGACTTTAGTCGTGCGGCAGGGGGTGCTGGGCTGTGGTCAGAAAGGCCTGGGTGGACCCGGGAGGCCACTATGCACCCCAGAGCTCTGGTTTTGACCCCAGATCTGCAGGGGGAGCCCCCCCCCCAGGTGTGGCTTTTAACCCTAGTAAGTGTAACAGGCCCCAGAGGCGGCGCCAAAACTCAGGAACGGGAGTCCCCAGGAAGGGGGAGGCCCGAGTCTGCGGCCTCCCTCCCCTCCCTGCACTCGGAGGGGAAGGGTAGTGCTGGGGAGGACGGTCCTGAAGGCCCTCACTGCACCTGGGGGGTTGGGGGCAAGCAGGATCACCCGCAGCAGGTGGAGACCAGAGCTGGGCAGCCTCCACTCGTCCCTGTCTGCCTGTGCAGTCCCTGTCTCCCTCGAGGGAGTCGTGGTGCCCTGGTGTGGACCCCGTACCCCTAACTTGGAACCAACATGGAAGGTGCTTGTCCGGGGAGATTCCTAAACCACAGAGGATCCGCTGGGTGTGGAGGAGGGGCTGGAGCCAAGGAAGAGGGGATCCTGGGGAGAGGGCCCGTGCAGAGTCTCTCCCTGGCCCTCACCCCTGCAAGGGGGCTCAGTCCTGGAGGTGGTGATGGGGAGGGCAGGGCATCTTTGGGGTTCGGAGTGGGAGCCCCTTGTGAATGTCAGCAAGTCAGCATCTTCCCTAGGCACCTGTCTAGGGGCGTCTGTGGGCCAGGGCACTGAGGCCTCACCCCCAGGTGAATCAGGCTCAGGTCCAGCCCCTCCCTGTACCCAGAGGAGGTACCCCACACACTGCTACCTCTCCTGAGTCCCTTCTGCCCCCCTCCTCGTGTCCAGGTTTAAAAGTGTAGCTCGGGCTGGTGCAGAAATGCATGTGTACAACAGGTAAGGTGCTGGCTTTGCGCGCAGCTGACCTGGGGTTTGATCCTAGGTGCACCATATGGTCCCCTGGGCCCCACCTGGAGTGATGCCTGAGCACAGAGCCAGGAGTCAGTCCTGATACCGCCCGGGTGTGACCCCCAAAATGTGTAGTCACAGCACAAATTGGGCTCTGCAGCTGGGGCTTTGCATAAAGAAGCCCCAGTCTATGCCCAGGCTCACAAATTCCTCAGAGCACTGCCCTGGTGGTGGTGGTGGAGGAGGAGGAGGAGGAGGAGGAGGAGGAGGAGGAGGGTCACCAACTCGTTATGTTGGTCAAAGCATCTTAGCATCTTGTCTCAGCATCTGCCTCTCCAGGCAGCTGCTTTGGGGAGCTGTCTGTACACAGGGTGAGTGTGGGCAGCAGTCAAGGAGGGCTGTCTGGAAGAGGAGTGCTCCAGCTGGGTGGAGAGAGGGAAAAAATGCTGGTCTGCGCTGGGGAGGGAGCTGGAGTTGCTAGGAGGTGACCACCATGTCCCCCATTATCCTAAGTGAAGAGAACACTTGGGTGGGCGTGAGCCTCCCCACGCCCCGCCCCTCGGGATGCGGTAAGGGTTGGGGACGCCCTCCCAGGAAGCTGGAAGAGGCTGGGCAGTCCCAGGCCGGTCTGTTTCTGCTCTAAGCGTCCGTTCCCGAGATGGTCTCACGGGGGCGCGCCAGCGCAGAGCCCACCGTGCGGGGCTGGCTGGCAAAGGCCCTGGCCTTTCCCGTCCTTCCCCAGAGCCGCTGGCACAAGCTGTCCTGAGAGCGCTGCGGGGTGATTCAGACCCTCTTCAAGGGCTAGCTGGGCGGGCATGGGGCTCCGCTGCTCCATCCTCCCCACCATCCTCCCTGGGCCCTCTGCGGGGCATGCAAGCAGCCGGACCCGCTCCCTGTGCCAGGGTGGCCTGGGCACTTGTCCAGGCCGGAGGGGTCTTTGCTGGTGGAGCGGCCCAGATGGGGGTGCTGGCAGGAGGGGCCTGTGAGGGGTCTGCCCTCACAGGCAGGGCGAGGGGCCTGCAGGAGGGCATGCAGCAGGGAAATGTGGCACAGAGCTGGGGACATGCCCGGTTAGCACAGAGGGAACTTGGAGTGACCTTAGCCAGGCACTCCTGGGGCCCCGGAAGCTGGAAGGGATGGGGTGGACCCTGTCCCAGAGGGACCTACAGGGCTGTGGCCCCCCCACTCCCCTCCCTTCTTCTCTCCACCCTCTAACTCTCCCCTCGATCTTCTCCCCTTCCCTCTCCCCCTGCCAACCCTCTCCTTCCTTCCTCCACCCTCTGACTCTCCCCTCCCTACCCTCCCCTGCCTCCCTCTTCTCCCTCCTCCCTGCCTCCATCTGCCCATCCTTCCTCTCCCTGCCTCCAGGAGTGAAGCTGGGAGCTGTGGGATTTGTCCTGCTCTTTCCAATGTTTCAAGGGAGCTGAGGGGACAAAGACAGGAGCACTGGGGCCTCAGTGGCAGATGGGGAGCAGGGGAGCAGCTCCTTGCACCTCCTGGCCCCCACACCACTCCCCGAGCAGTGCTCAGGCAGTGCTCAGCTTGAGTGCCTGCTCCAGTCCCGACTTCCTCAATGAGGAAGGAGGAGGCGCGACCCGGTGTGGGGCACCCGGGCGGGCGGGCTCGTCCGGCATTGGTCAGCTCATCTGGCATCGCAGTGGTGGGTCCCAGCTGGAGCCCAGCTGTGGGGCAGGGTCTGCCCTGTCAGGACTGGCTCAAGCACCCTCTGAGGGCTCCCCACAGAGGCCTGGACTGTGGCCTGCAGCACCCAGGGCTTTCAGGGAGAGAATGCAGGGCTCAGGGCTCAGGGCTCAGTGCTCAGGGCTCGGGGCTCGGGTTTGGAGCAGGAGCTGCACAGGGACAAAGCTGCACTCTGGAGGGCGTAGAGAATAGGTCAGCATCCCCCCCAATATGCTTGTTCACAGGTGGGCTTGGACACCCTTCCCCACAGTCCTTGTCTCTTTGGGCGCCCTCTGTCCTCATTTTCCCCATGTGCCAGAAGCACCCCTGCCTGCCTTTGACAGCCTGTGCCCGAGCTTCCATCCCCTCTCCCCTTGGTCCAGCCCCTGCGGGAGTCTGTGCCTCTGAGGCTCTTCCCTGGTCACTCCGGGAGACAGAAGTCCTGGAAGCTACATCAGAAAGGAAAACCCCAGCCCCAGGGTCCTTGCCTCCTGGTACAGGACAGGTCCAAACCATGGGAGGCAGGCCTGGGCCTCTGCAGCCTGGAAGGCCCCCACGGGCAGGCACAGACTCTCAGCAACCAGGGCAGTGGCACAGGGTAGGGGCATGGCTGCCTGCATGCGCAGGGACCCCCTGGAAACGGGGCCTTTGGGTCTGGAGCTGCCTTCCCCAGGGTCCAGCATCTCCACTCTTCCCCTCTCTCCCCGAGCCTCCGGGAGCGGATTCCAGGCCCGCCAGCTGGCTCTCCTCCTGGGACTCCTTCCGGGCTCTGCAGGTCTGTCTGGAAGAGGAGGTGACGGTTCCCGGTTCCCGGCGGGAGCAAGGCGCCCGCGACCTAGGACCAGGATCCGCGGCTCTTGCTTGGACGAGGCCGGCCGCGGGAGGCTGGATGATGCTCTCACCACATCGCGCTCCGCGGTGCCTGCACACCGCGATCCCACCCAGGGACCGGGGGCCTCTGCTCCCTGCGGCGGCGGGCCAGGAACCCCTCCTGAGTGGCCAGTCTCCGAGGCGACGGCGAATGCACTTCGGTCCCCGCGGTCGCTGCTGCGGAAATCGGAGGCACTTCCCCGCTTTAGAAACAAAGTGGCCAGCAGGGATAGCGCTGTCCCCCCAAACTCTGCGGTCGGGGCAGTGAGTTCCGGCCCCTTCTAAGAGCCTGGTGTCTCCCAGGGGCTCCAGAGCGCGAACTGCGCGCTGTGGGGCGGGAGGACGGATTTTCTTACACTCAGTCTGAACCGGGGGGCCTGACACTGCTTTGGCCGATTCGTGTTTCTTTTGGTGAAAAAAACAAAACAAAACAAAAAAACGCCACGGACACCTGGATTGCTTTACTCCTGTGCTTTACTCCTTTAATCCTGTGCTTCAGTCTTTTGCAGGAAGAGCCAAGATTTTCGCTCACTGCCGCACACCACACGCACAGGCCACGCGCGCGCAGTCCCTGGCGCTGGGTCCCACACTCCGCGCGCCGTGGTAATTACGGGACCTTGCCGGGCGCTGATTGGCCAGACGGCTCCTCTTCGGGCCTCGCAGCCAATAGGAGGCCCCGCCAGCCCCTCCCGCCGCGGGCCGGGGGGCGGGTCCCGGGGCCGCAGCCGCCGCCACCCCGGCCGGGCCGCCCGTCCTCGGCCCCGCGATCGCCAGCGCGCGGGCTTCCCGCGGCTCCTGCGGGCGGTGGCCGCGCCCCGGGCCGCCGCGGCTCCGGGGGCTGAGCCGGGGCCCGCGCGCCCCGCCCCTGTCGGCCCCTCCCCGCGCGTCCCCGCCCCCCGCGGGGCGGCCCGGGCGGCGACCGGCTCGGGGACGCGAGAGGCGAGCGAGGCGGCGGCCCGGCCGGCTGGGCGCACCCGCTCCGGCGCTGCCCCGCGGGCCCCGACGCCAGCGCTCCGGGCGGCGGCTCCGGCCTCGCGCACCCGTGTCCCGGCCGGTGCCCGCCCTGCAGCGCCCGGCCGCGCCCGACGGACCCAACGCCGCGATGCCGGACGAGCTGACCGAGCCCGGGCGCGCCACGCCGGGTCGCGCCTCCTCCTTCCTCATCGAGAACCTGCTGGCGGCCGAAGCCAAGGGCGCGGGGCGCGCGGCGCGGGGCGGCCGCAAGGATGACGACGACGACGACGACGACGACCCGGAGGACGAGCACGCGGGGCCGGCGCGGCGGCGGCGGCTGCAGCGGCGGCGGCTGCGAGCGGGCGCGGGGCCCGGCGGGGAGGCGCGGGCGCGGGCGCTACTCGGGCCCGGCGCGCTGGGCCTGGGGCCCCGGCCGCCCCCCGGGCCCGGGCCGCCCTACGCGCTGGGCTGCAGCGGCGCGGCCAGCTGGTACCTGCGGGCGCCCGGCGGCTACGGCGGCGGCCTGAGTCCTGACCGTGAGTGCGGCGCGAGGGCTGCGTCGGGAGCCGGGGCGCGCGCCCTGCTTTCTGGACCCCTTCCTCGGCCCGGGCGGCAGGCTCTGGGGCGGGGGCGGACGTGGAGGCTCGCTGAGCGCACAGGGATGCCGCGCCACCTGGGTCCGAGGCTCCAGGCTATGCTCGGCAGGGGTGGGGGCTGTCTCGGGCCAGTGACGTCGGGGAAAGAAAGGAAGGCGCAGGGGTGCGCGGAGAGACAGGATGGGGACAGGTGGGGTGAGAGCTGAAGGAGGACGAGGAAGAATTGGGTGGGGGAGGAGAGAGGTTGGGAGGGCAGGTACATGGGTGCCCCCGGAAGAGGGAGCCTCTGAGAGGGGCCGGCGGGGCTGAGGGGCTCTGTGGACCCCAGCTTCTGAGACCCCAAGTCTCCTTCCCTTCCTGCTGCGAACCAGCCTGGGCCCAGGCCCCTCTCTGTGCCCTGGGGTCCGTTTTTCTTGCTGCCCCTCCCCCTCCCAGCCTTTGTTCCCGCTGAGGGGGGTGGTGTGTGTATGCGGTTCTAAACTCAGAATCCCCCTCATCGGTCCAGGCCCCCCTAGTTCTGCTCCCCTGCACCATTTGGGGCCCCTCTTTGGAGAGGGCATCCAGGGAGGGAGCTCAGGGAACCATCCCGCTCTGTCAGGCTTTGTCCCCCAACACACTCTGGGGTCCCTGGGTCTTGCGGGGCCTCTGGCCACCTCTCCCCCTTCTCCGTGCGGTGCGGGAGTGTGCTGGGGTGTGGGCAGGGGCTTTCATTCTTCCCATCCCCTGGCGAACCCCCTCCCAGTGTGGGAGCACCCCTGCCAGGGGACCCTGTCAGAGACACTTCCAGAAACTCCTGCCACAACCCCCTTCCCGTAAACTTGAGCTCGACCTCGACCTCGCTTCCCTGCAATCGAATGACAAACGGGGGAGGGAGGGGGTGTTTCTGAGAAGGGGCTCCGAGGATGAGATGTGTGTCCTCTGTGGGGGGTGCCCAACCACCACCCCCCACTCCCCACCCCCACAACGTTGAAAGAGGCCTGCATTATTTTTCGTTCAGTGCGGGTTGGTGACCTGGTTTCCCGATTCACCTTCGGAGCTGCACTGGGCGCTTGGTGGCAGTGCTTGTACTTCCAGGGGGGCACAGGGGCACCCCTCATTTGGTCCTGGGTACACCTGGTCCCTCCAGGAGACCTGCAGGGATGTGGCCGCGGTTCCCCAGTGTCAGCCTACGGGGAGCTGCCAGAACCCTCAGCCACCCTAGCACCCATGCAGACAGCATCTGGGATTGTGGGGTGTCCCACCTGCCCGTGACCTGCTCCTTAATGGCTTGGGAGGCCACCAGGCGCCCTGACCCTGCACTGGACCCAACTCGCCTCCAGCCCTCACTGGCAGCGCCTCTGCGTCAGCAGCAGAGCAAACTCTGGTCCCCCACAGCCCAGGCTGAGCTTCAAGCCTCACAGGGTTTGGGGTGGTCTGCGGCCGGGCAGGAACAGGGACCGAGTCCCCAGTCCCCCGTCAGCATGCTGCTTTGTATGATTTGGCAGCGCGGGAGGTAGAACTCCAGGGTCGCGCAGTCATTGCCGCCGGCCGGTCACAGCTGGGGCCAGCGCGCTGGAGTTTCCCTCGGGCCATTCTAGGTCCCAGATTCGGTTCGTTCCTTCTCCTGGACTTGCAGCCCAACGCAAGCGGGCTGGGCACGCGCTGTGGAAAGAGCGAGCGGGGAGAGGCACTTTGTGTCGGCAGTTGGGGTCTGGGCGCCCCCGCTTTTTTGGGGTGCCTGTTTCTGGGAAAGGCCCATTCCCCGCTTCCAAGGGCACCCCGAGGTCCCCGGAGCGCTGTGTCCGGGCGGCCCTGCTTCTTTGCGGGGTCGCCTCCACTCTGCCGGCTCTGAGTGTGAGTAGCCGGCCGGAGCCTTAGTGGGTGACGACAGGGTGCCGAAGGGCTGCCCGAAACCCACCGAGTCCCCTTTTCTCCTCTCCCCTGCAGCCAGCGACCGGGACTCACCGGAGACGGGCGAGGAGATGGGCCACCCGGAGGGCGCCTGGCCGCGGGGCCCGGGGCCGGCCGCGGCGCATCGGGAGGAGGCCGAACTGGCGGCGCGCGGCCCTGCGGCCAGCGCGGAGGAGGTGGCTGAACCGGCGGAGCCCGCGTCGGCCGGGGAGGCGCGCGGCGGCAGCGGCGCGGGCGGCGGCCGCAAGAAGAAAACCCGCACGGTGTTCTCCCGCAGCCAGGTCTTCCAGCTGGAGTCCACCTTCGACCTGAAGCGCTACCTGAGCAGCGCCGAGCGCGCCGGCCTGGCCGCCTCGCTGCAGCTCACCGAGACGCAGGTGAAGATCTGGTTCCAGAACCGCCGCAACAAGTGGAAGCGGCAGCTGGCGGCCGAGATGGAGGCGGCCAGCCTGTCCCCCCTGGGCGCGCAGCGGCTGGTGCGCGTGCCCGTGCTCTACCACGAGAGCCCGCCGGCCGCCGCCGCCGCCGCCGCCGCCGCCGCCGCCGCGCCGCCCGCCGCGCTGCCTTTCCAGCTGCCGCCCGCGCCGCCCGCGCCGCCCGCGCCGCCCGCGCCGCTGCTCGGCTTCTCCGGGGCCCTCGCTTATCCGCTGGCCGCCTTCCCGGCCGCCGCCTCCGTGCCCTTCCTGCGGGCGCAGATGCCCGGCCTGGTGTGAGCCTCGGCGCAAGGGCGCGCGGCGCGTCGGAGACCCCCGCGGAGAGGCGCTGGGCGCGCGCGGCGGCGGCGGGGGCCGGAGCAGATTCGGACGCCAAGCCCAGCGGAGCGAAAGCCACACGCCGGCGCTGGGGCCGCGGGGTGCCGCCCCCAACGCGGACACGTCCCTCCCAGGAGCGCAGTGAGGACTGGCCTCAGCCTCCCGCAGGCACCCAGGCCCCACGGAGGCCGCTCCCGCGTGGGGGAGGTCGGCTCTTCGCGGCGCCTGCCCGCCAGTCTCCTCGAAGACTGTTTTTTTTTTTTTTAAAGGAAACTACTTGTTTGCGTATGGAATAAAGGGACTTTTCTGGATGTTTTCTGCTGTCTTGTGATCAGTGGGGGGCGGGTCTGGCGCAGGCCGCGGGGGCACAGCCCTCCCTCCCGTCCCTCCATGTCTGCACATGACCCCTCCGTATTGGAAGCAGGTGGTGAGCTCAGGGGACAGCCTGGGGGAAGCAGAAAAGGGGCCCAGTGTCCCTAGGTTTCCGGGGCTGCTGGCTGGGGCCCCCTGCACTTCCCGCCCCCATACCAATGGGGTGGGAGGCAAGGGTGATGCTGCGTCTAGGGGCTCTGAGAGGGTTGGGGCAGATCCCCAGGCGGAGCAGAACCCGTTGGAACCCAGTCTCTGGCTGGGCAGAATAGACCCCCCAGCGCCCCAGGGGCACTGTCCAGAGCCACACCTTGGGGCCTCCTTGGCAGGCACCCATCTGTCTGGCCTGCCATCTGCCCAGTGGCCAGGCTCATTCCCTGCTTGAGCATCTGGGGGCGGGGGGGGGGGGGGCGCGGTTGTGCGAGGCAGACCGGGCTCTGCAGGCACCACATGCAGGTGTGGCTATGTGCAGGGCCTGTGCGAGGAGCAAGGCAGGGTGGGCACCTGCAGTCAGGAGGGGCTCCTGCTGGACCCAGTCCCCCACCCGTGCTCTCCACGTTCCTGCTCCCTCAGCCCTTTGGGTACTGGGGTTCCATGGGGGCTGGCTATTTCCCAAAAGTGATGGGCAGGGGGCCGTTGCCTGCCTCTGAAAGAGGGGATTGCCTCCCCCCCCACCTTCACCTCTGCTGAGGGCTTTGCAGTCCCACAGGGGAAGTCTGCTGGGCTGAGGACACTCTCCTCCACCTCCTCATCTCTGGGACCCATGTCTGGGCTCCTGAGCCCCAGTGCCACACAGGCCATGGTCGGATGCCCCACCTCGATGGCCACTGCTGTCCCCACTTTGAATGAAGTCTTGGCAGGTCCTGGGAGGCTGAGGACAGGGAAGGGGGACAGTGATGGTTCTGGGAAGAGGGTCGGCGCTTCCCACTGAGGTGCCATTTCTGTTGGGCAGCTGGATTTGGGTGCACTGTGGGGGTGAGGGGACACACCTGCAGCAGTGCTCAGGGTGGGGGTCCTGTGCAGCCAGGTGGCCTCTCCTGACCAAAGATGGCTCGCTGGCAGTGAGGGACAGAACCCACAGCCGCAGCTAGAGGAGGAGGCTGCCTGAGCCCAGGAGGGCTGGGGTGGAGCAGTGTAAGGCCGACAGAACCCGGCTGGGCCTGGTTTCATCCACCAGCGGGGTGGGTGGGAGCTGCACGGGGGACCAAGGGGGGGTCTCTGTTCAGCTCCAAGCTCAGTCTATGATAGGTGGGGTCAGTTTGTCAGTTGGTCGGTTGGTCGGTTGGTCGGTGGGAGCCTCACAGAGGGATCAAGAGGAGGGTCTCTGTGTGGGAACGTGGGAAGGACCAGCTCCGAGAAACCAGTTTCAGCCCTGCCCCATGACTATCCTGCATCCTGCAGGTTGCTTCAGCGTCCAGGGCACAAAGGAGAGAGACACAGGTTTTCACCCCATACCCAGGGCCTAGAGGCACCAGGCTGGGGGCGTACCTAGTCCCAAGGAGCAGTTAGGTGGCTGGAAATCTGGGTTGGGCTCGTTGGGTGGTACCAGCCTTGATAGAGACCCAGGATGAGATGTGCTGCGGAGAACCATCTTCTGGGTCTCTCTGCCTCGGGCTATGCCACTGTCAACTCTAGCTGGGGAATCTGCTCTCTGGCCATTCTCAAAAGGGAAACTGAGGCCCTGGAGGGAGTAGTCGCCAACCCCTCAAGACCCCCATACCGGTTGTCTCTGCCTGCGTGCAGCCTGAAGATGTTCCTGGCCCCCTCCCAGCCACAGAGGCCCCCTGCAGGGTCTCACCAGCAAGGGAGATCCCCTCCAGGCAGCTCCCCAGAACTAGGTCTGAAGCCCATCTCCCTCTCCAGGAAAAGGGGTGGTGGGCCATGTCCTGGCACTGGCAGAAGGAAAGCTGGGGAGGGGACAGGGGGTGTCTGGGCTCCACCCTCAGAGTGGAGCCGGCGCTGGTGCTGGCCTCGGCCCCAGCTCCTACCTCGGGTTCATTCGTTTGTTTCTTAATTATAAAAGCAATAGTGTGTATTATTGATGACCTGGAGATGGTCTTTGCAGACCAGGCTGTGATTTATTGAGAAGCGGGGTGCAGCCACTCTTTGCAAGCGCCGGCGGAGTGATGTCTGGGTTTGCCTGAAAACATCACACAAATAACCAAATCAAGTCAGCGGCGCAGAAGGAAAGGGAGCGGCTAGAATCTGCGCGGGTCAGCCATCCGGTCTTTGCCGAAGGGTCTCCGTGGTCTGTGGGGCTCAGGCGGCCCTCTACTTCCTTTTCTATTTGGAAGTTTCCACACGGACGTTTTTAGCGAGATAGCGGGAGGGTTCGGGCACTCAGCCCCTGTTTTCTTTTGTTCCTTTTTCCCTTCGTGGGGGCGAGGGCCTGAAGCATACAAAATGCCCGCTCCCTCGCTGTTTCTGACTGTTTTTGTTGCAGAATGTTTTTCTTCGGAGGTGGTAGCGGAGTGGTGGTGGTGGAGCTCCCTCTCTTGCCGACAGCTAACGAAACCGTGGGTTAAAAATAGTTAATTCGGTCTTTCCCTGTGCGTTTTGGTGTTAAACTTTCGGTTCTTTTGGAAGCTTACTCCGCGGTCTCCGGGTGCTGCGCATCGCCCTCGCGCTGGTGCGTATCGCGGTACCGTGCGGGAGGGACCGGGCGCGGGGTGCAGTCCCCGCACCGGGTGCGGTCTCAACCGCTCTGAAGCGGGCGGTGGTGGCCTCCCGCTCCCGGGTTCAGTTTTCCGCAGTATCCCTTGACCTCCCTCCTGCCCTTGGCGCCCTACAACACGGGCAGAAGTGACAGTGAGGGGCCCGGGGCTAGGTCGAGCTCCCCCCTCCCAGGGCAGCTGTGTGTAGAAGGATGTCACGCGCCTGAGGGCACGACGCGGCCCCTGGCCAAGGGATGAGCTCTAAGGTCCAGACAGAGGCCCCCGGGAGCGCCGGCAGGGATTCCGCAAGGTGCACGCCGGGGCTTCTGAGGAAGGGGACTCCAGCCCCAGCCCCCCCAGCACAGCTGGTGCGCGCCCCTCCTTCCAGCTCCCGACCCCCCGGCGCCTTCTCCCGCTTCTCCCCCGCTGGACGCCCGGGGCTGGCGGGTCCGGGGTCCCACTTCCTTCCTCCGGGGCTGAGCCTTGCGCTTCCGACGACAAGCCCGCATGCGGTGCTCCTTCCCGGCTTGCATTTCTTTGGGGAGACGTCTGTCTGTTTAGACCCTGCACGCGGACTCGGGAGCAGCACCAGCCAGGTCTGGCATCTATCACCCTCGTCCGGTTTGGGGGTGAGGAATCGGGGACTTCCTCTCCCTGCCCGAGGCCAACGACTCCGGGACCCGCGGGAAATGCTTGGATAGTGGAGAAGAGACTGGCCGGGGCGCCAGCGCCGCGCGGCCTTCTCCCGCCGGCTGCCAGCGCAGCGCGCACGGCCAAGGCCACCCCGCGGGGCACAGGGGCCCCGCCCCCTCCTGGCCCCGCCCCACCCCGGGCAGCCGTTGCTCGGACCACGCCCCCGCCTGGACCCGCCTCATCCCCCCAGGCTCCGCCCGTTCCGCTCTAACCACGCCCCTCCGGGCCCCCGGCCCCGCCCCGTCCCCTGCAGTGCCCAGGCCCCGCTCACCTGGCGTCTGGGTGGCGTCTCAGAGTCTGGCGCGTCTTGGGGCCCCGCCCCCGGCTCGCACCTCGGCCCCTCCCGCTCCGAAGCCCGGGCGGCCAGCGGCGTTGACTTTCCCTCTCCCCGCACTCGCTCCTGGAGCTGGGGTCCGCGCCCTGGCCGAGGAGGGAGGTGCAGGGCTCCGGGGCGTTTCTGGGGGCTGCAGCGGCTTGGCCCCGGGACCCCGAGACCCCGGTACCCCAGAGCTGGACTGCCGGGCCTCCCACTCTTCCTTCCCCGAAGGATGGGCGCAGAGAGCCGAGGGTCGGGCGGGATCGGGTGCACGGACGTCCCGGTGCTTGGCTGCGCGGTGCGGAGGTGGCAGAGGTGCCGGTGGAGCGAGCTGGTGACAGGGCCGGGTCCTAGGCTTGTCCTGGCTCTCCTCTCTGTCCACTTTCCGCCTTGGTCGCGGTGCAGGGGCGCGCCGGCCTCCTCCCGCGGGTCCTCCCGCACATTCCCGCTCCACCGCGACTCCGGACTGCCACGTCGCGCGCACGCACCCGCGTCCGTGCACCAGCTTGCGGCGGCCGGAACTCTCGCTGTTCTACCCTTTGCCAGGTCCCCAGGGTCCTCCACTCTTGCCACGGGGCAGGCCCCGGTCTTACAGTGCCTTGCAGAGGTGGCACCGACCCTGCCTGCCGCGTTCTCGGACCTGGGGTTAATCTGCTTACCCGGGGTTGATGGCCCCCACTCAGGAACGAGGATGGGGGCTCACACAACCGCACAGACCACCCGTGCCCAGCTATTCTCAAGAGAGAGGAGGACTCAGTCCCTCCGCCTGGCTGGGTAGGGAACTCGGGCAACGGCTGGGCCACCCGTTACTTCCTACCCCTGCATGGGGCCTGTCCTTGCGCCCTGCCCGCCCCTGCCCGGAGGGGGGCTCTCACAGACCGCCTTGCCTGCGCTATTAAAGGGACCCGCTGTGCACCGCCTTTCTTGTT